AAAAGTAAATAATTTTCATCTCTACATTATGAATCTCTGGGTTTAATTTTATTTGTTTCATTTTTATCTCAGATGGAAGAGAAAAATAAGATGCAGATCTTTTTATTTTGTTAAGTATTTTAATTTGCATTACTATTTAATGCTTCATTTTATTTTTATTGACATCATTTTTATTTGCAGTAATTTTGTTTACATGTCAGAAGCATTGCAGTTCAATAAATATTAATTGACATAAATGTGATGATGCTGCCTCCTGCAGGCGGCCGGGTCGGCGCTCCGGGTCCACGCTGTCCGGTTCGGTCCGGGTCAGGAGCTGTTGGGATCGCTGCAGGCGTTTGTGGAAGAGCGACGACTCGGCGCGCCGTTCATCATCACCTGTGTGGGCAGCGTTACCAGGGCAACGCTCAGGCTGGCTAACGCCACAGCAACAAATACTGATGAGGTACGAGAAGGAACTGTTCAGAAGAACTGTTCAGAAGGAACTGTTCAGAAGAACTGTTCAGAAGAACTGTTCGGAAGGAACTGTTCAGAAGAACTGTTCAGAAGAACTGTTCGGAAGGAACTGTTCAGAAGAACTGTTCGGAAGGAACTGTTCAGAAGAACTGTTCGGAAGGAACTGTTCAGAAGAACTGTTCGGAAGGAACTGTTCAGAAGAACTGTTCGGAAGGAACTGTTCGGAAGGAACTGTTCAGAAGAACTGTTCGGAAGGAACTGTTCAGAAGAACTGTTCGGAAGGAACTGTTCAGAAGAACTGTTCGGAAGGAACTGTTCAGAAGAACTGTTCGGAAGGAACTGTTCAGAAGAACTGTTCGGAAGGAACTGTTCAGAAGAACTGTTCGGAAGGAACTGTTCAGAAGAACTGTTCGGAAGGAACTGTTCAGAAGAACTGTTCAGAAGAACTGTTCGGAAGGAACTGTTCAGAAGAACTGTTCGGAAGGAACTGTTCAGAAGAACTGTTCGGAAGGAACTGTTCAGAAGACTGTTCAGAAGAACTGTTCGGAAGGAACTGTTCAGAAGAACTGTTCGGAAGGAACTGTTCAGAAGAACTGTTCAGAAGAACTGTTCGGAAGGAACTGTTCAGAAGAACTGTTCGGAAGGAACTGTTCAGAAGAACTGTTCGGAAGGAACTGTTCAGAAGAACTGTTCGGAAGGAACTGTTCAGAAGAACTGTTCGGAAGGAACTGTTCAGAAGAACTGTTCGGAAGGAACTGTTCAGAAGAACTGTTCGGAAGGAACTGTTCAGAAGAACTGTTCGGAAGGAACTGTTCAGAAGAACTGTTCGGAAGGAACTGTTCAGAAGAACTGTTCGGAAGGAACTGTTCAGAAGAACTGTTCGGAAGGAACTGTTCAGAAGAACTGTTCGGAAGGAACTGTTCGGAAGAACTGTTCGGAAGGAACTGTTCGGAAGAACTGTTCAGAAGAACTGTTCGGAAGGAACTGTTCAGAAGAACTGTTCGGAAGGAACTGTTCAGAAGAACTGTTCGGAAGGAACTGTTCAGAAGAACTGTTCGGAAGGAACTGTTCGGAAGAACTGTTCAGAAGAACTGTTCGGAAGGAGCTGTTCAGAAGAACTGTTCGGAAGGAACTGTTCAGAAGAACTGTTCGGAAGGAACTGTTCAGAAGAACTGTTCGGAAGGAACTGTTCAGAAGAACTGTTCGGAAGGAACTGTTCAGAAGAACTGTTCGGAAGGAACTGTTCAGAAGAACTGTTCGGAAGGAACTGTTCAGAAGAACTGTTCGGAAGGAACTGTTCGGAAGGAACTGTTCAGAAGAACTGTTCGGAAGGAACTGTTCAGAAGAACTGTTCGGAAGGAACTGTTCAGAAGAACTGTTCGGAAGGAACTGTTCAGAAGAACTGTTCAGAAGAACTGTTCGGAAGGAACTGTTCAGAAGAACTGTTCGGAAGGAACTGTTCAGAAGAACTGTTCAGAAGAACTGTTCGGAAGGAACTGTTCAGAAGAACTGTTCGGAAGGAACTGTTCAGAAGAACTGTTCGGAAGGAACTGTTCAGAAGAACTGTTCGGAAGGAACTGTTCAGAAGAACTGTTCGGAAGGAACTGTTCAGAAGAACTGTTCGGAAGGAACTGTTCAGAAGAACTGTTCGGAAGGAACTGTTCAGAAGAACTGTTTGGAAGGAACTGTTCAGAAGAACTGTTCAGAAGAACTGTTCGGAAGGAACTGTTCAGAAGAACTGTTCAGAAGAACTGTTCGGAAGGAACTGTTCAGAAGAACTGTTCGGAAGGAACTGTTCAGAAGAACTGTTCGGAAGGAACTGTTCAGAAGAACTGTTCGGAAGAAACTGTTCAGAAGAACTGTTCAGAAGAACTGTTCGGAAGGAACTGTTCAGAAGAACTGTTCGGAAGGAACTGTTCAGAAGAACTGTTCGGAAGGAACTGTTCAGAAGAACTGTTCGGAAGGAACTGTTCAGAAGAACTGTTCAGAAGAACTGTTCAGAAGAACTGTTCAGAAGAACTGTTCAGAAGAACTGTTCGGAAGGAACTGTTCAGAGAACTGTTCGGAAGGAACTGTTCAGAAGAACTGTTCGGAAGGAACTGTTCAGAAGAACTTCGGAAGGAACTGTTCAGAAGAACTGTTCGGAAGGAACTGTTCAGAGAACTGTTCGGAAGGAACTGTTCAGAAGAACTGTTCGGAAGGAACTGTTCAGAAGAACTGTTCAGAAGAACTGTTCGGAAGGAACTGTTCAGAAGAACTGTTCAGAAGAACTGTTCGGAAGGAACTGTTCAGAAGAACTGTTCGGAAGGAACTGTTCAGAAGAACTGTTCGGAAGGAACTGTTCAGAAGAACTGTTCGGAAGGAACTGTTCAGAAGAACTGTTCGGAAGGAACTGTTCAGAAGAACTGTTCAGAAGAACTGTTCGGAAGGAACTGTTCAGAAGAACTGTTCGGAAGGAACTGTTCAGAAGAACTGTTCGGAAGGAACTGTTCAGAAGAACTGTTAAAAAGAACTGGTTCGCGTTCGGTGATCTGTTTGACGCGTGAACGGTTCGGTCCGGCTGTCCAGGTTCTGACCCGGTTCTGCTCCCTCCCAGGTTCTGCGGCTGAGCGGTCGCTATGAGATCGTCTCTCTGGTCGGGACGCTCAACGGCGACGCCCACCTCCACATTGGCCTGGCGGACGCCCAGGGCGCCACGGTGGGCGGCCATGTTCTGGGCGACCTGGAGGTGTTCACCACCGCCGAGGTCATCGTGGGCGACGCCGTCGACCTGCGGTTCAGCAGGGAGCCCGACCCGAGGACGGGCTTCCCCGAGCTGGTGGTTCTGACCCCGGCCTGAACCTCGAGGGTTCTGGACCCGAACCCGGTTCTGTCCCTGATTAAATCACCGTCGGCTTTCCGTGGCCGACCCAGACCCGATGATCAGAACCAGAAACATTTGTAAACAGCTTTTCTGTGAAATAATTGACCTTTGACCCGGCCTGTCTGTTGCTGCTGCGCTGTGAGCGAGCGGTCGCTATGGAAACTGATGAAGAAAAGCCGATTTTCATGGATGAAAAGTTTCCAGATTTGTGTGGAAACTTTAAATGGCCGCTTTGCTTTGTTGTTTCTGACCAAGATAATCCTAAATCTCCCAGCATGCCCCCCGCCCCCCCACTGCCCCCGCGCCGCCATTAAAGTGCAGCTACAAAGCTGTGGAGGCGTTGGCGGTCTGCGGCCCCCTGGGGCCCCATCTGAGGCGTTGTCACGGCGATTACCGCTCCCAGCTGCTTTCAGCCTCATTTCACATCATCAGAGCAGCGGACATGTTGGCTCAGAGATCGGCTTTATTGATCCCTAATGATCGGCTTTATTCATCCTTAATGATCGGCTTTATTGATCCCTAATGATCGGCTTTATTCATCCTTAATGATCGGCTTTATTCATCCTTAATGATCGGCTTTATTGATCCCTAATGATCGGCTTTATTGATCCCTAATGATCGGCTTTATTGATCCCTAATGATCGGCTTTATTGATCCCTAATGATCGGCTTTATTGATCCCTAATGATCGGCTTTATTCATCCCTAATGATCGGCTTTATTGATCCCTAATGATCGGCTTTATTCATCCTTAATAATCAACAGATCTGAATTCTGCCAACACAGTTTCTCTCCTCATGACCTTTGACCTGCTAACTGAGTTTGTCTCTGAGCATCACTGGGAGGCTTTCCTGTCTGGTTTGGAGATGACCTTTGGAGATGACCTTTGACCCCTCCCAGGTTGATGAACACCAGTTGCCTCTGTATGTTTACGTTTCCTCTAAGCTGCTGATTGTGGCGTTGGCTCCGTTAAACATGATGCATCATGTGTTGCCAGGCAGATTTAATTTTAGGAACTTATTTACCAGCAGGGTCCACCGCTAGCTGCTAGCCTTCAGCACTAGCCATGATCATTAGCTCTGCTGATGCACTATGCTACATGGTATTTTGCTGAAGCTAATGCTATAGTGCTAACCCTTGAGCTAATGCTATAGTGCTAACCCTTGACCTAATGGTATAGTGCTCACCCTTGAGCTAATACTGTAGTGCTAACCCTTGAGCTAATACTGTAGTGCTAACCCTTGAGCTAATGCTGTAGTGCTAACCCTTGAGCTAATGCTGTAGTGCTAACCCTTGAGCTAATGCTGTATTGCTAACCCTTGAGCTAATGCTGTATCGCTAACCCTTGAGCTAATGCTATAGCGCTAACCCTTGAGCTAATGCTATATCGCTAACCCTTGAGCTAATGCTATAGCGCTAACCCTTGAGCTAATGCTATATCGCTAACCCTTGAGCTAATGCTGTAGTGCTAACCCTTGAGCTAATGCTATATTGCTAACCCTTGAGCTAATGCTTTAGTGCTAACCCTTTAGCACCAATTTACCGTTGATGTTAAAATTCATATGTCCTTTTTAATAACAAAGAAAACAAATGAGTGTAGCAAAAACCTGTTAACCAAGAACTTTGTTTTGTTTGAAATCAAATTATTAGACAAAAAGACAATTATAAACAAGCTTCAAAAATTCAGTTTAAAAACATTTCAAAACTTCAAAAAACTTTACAAAACAGCCAAGTAAATGATCACTCAGGCTGAATCCTGAGAACAAGAAGCTAAAGGAAATAAAGCAGTGATGGATCTCAGAGGATCTGCTCATTCCTCCGTCCTTCTTCTCATTTGCAGCTTCTCCTCCCAGCTGCCTCCCAGCTCCTGTTATCCCTGAATAATGAGCGGGATGCAGCGGGATGCAGCGGGGCCCCGCCGCTCTGAAGCCGCCCCCTCTCCGCCTCACTTCTGACGGCCAGCCCAGGTCGTTGGTCCGGCTGATCCGGCTAATGAGGGCCAGCTCTGTGAAGCTCAGCAGGAGGCCGAACTCACACAGAGCCGGAGCTTCACAGACTCACACAACAATGAGCCCAATTAGGAAGAGGAGGAGGAAGAGGAAGAGGAGGAGGAGGGGGAGGACCTTCATCAGGATCTTCAGCTCTAAAGGAAATCAAAACATTTTCAGTTTGTTTTTATTTACTTTTGCATTCATTTCTGTTTCTTTTTTCATCAGTCCTGCTGCTTCTAATAAATTTACATTTCTAATTTAAAAACAAATCAAAGTGATTCAAACAAATATAAATATTGAACGTATTTAAATTGCTTAAAAAACATTTAAATGTTTGAAAAATATTATTCTAATAAACTGCTTCATTTTTAATGTGAATGTTTTTTATCTGAATCAAAGTGTAAAAAAATCAAATGTCTCTAACAGGAGAAATAAATCCCAACTTATTGCTTATCACATTTATCTGAATGATTTAGTTTCAACATTAAAACATTAATGTTAATTCTGTTTCGTTTGATGAATTAATCTCCATCAACATTTAATACATAAATGAATTTAGGAGATAAATTACTGCGTTAATATAATAAACTTTAGTTATGAAAGATTAAATTAAAAATGATCTGACTGAATAATAGATCATAGAAAATATCTAACATCATCCATAATATTTTTAATTCTGTCCGCAGAATAAAATATATTTATGATTGTATTTATTAACAATGTTCATTCAGTTATAATTGGATCCATTTTGGGACCAGATTCCGAGCCCTGTGGCTGCAGGTGCTGCTGGTTTCCACCAGGGGGCAGCAGGAGCAGCTTCATGTGGCTGCTGTGGGTCGGAACCAGAGGGTTCTGCTTTTGGTCCGGGTGAAGCTCCAGAACCGAACCGGGGTTCCACTTTAAATCTGTGAAACTACAGAACCAGAACTGCCCCAATCCTCCTCGGCTCCATAATCACCCTCTGCTGAGCCCGGCTACAGAGAGCGAGCAGGGACACACCGAGGCGAACACTGCTGAGAACGGGAAACAGTTCTTTGATCCTGGTTCTGCTGAATTAGCAGAACCGCTGGGAAATCACTGCAAACACACAAGACATAGTAAGATTGTTGGGACCTGGGTTGTCTGCTGCTTCCCTCATTATCCACTAGATGGCGCCAGGAGGCTCCTTCCCGGAGGGCCAGCAGGTCACAAGGTGCTCAGTCTACCTTGGATTGTGGTCTGTGACCCTGCGGCCCTCTGAGGCAGGTTGTTGCAGGTTGTTGCAGGATGTTGCAGGATGTTGCAGGTTGTTGCAGGATGTTGCAGGATGTTGCAGGTTGTTGCAGGATGTTGCAGGTTGATGCAGGTTGTTGCAGAATGTTGCAGGTTGTTGCAGGATGTTGCAGGTTGTTGCAGGATGTTGCAGGATGTTGCAGGTTGTTGCAGGTTGATGCAGGTTGTTGCAGAATGTTGCAGGTTGTTGCAGGTTGTTGCAGGTTGTTGCAGGATGTTGCAGGTTGTTGCAGGTTGTTGCAGGTTGTTGCAGGATGTTGCAGGTTGTTGCAGGATGTTGCAGGATGTTGCAGGTTGTTGCAGGATGTTGCAGGTTGTTGCAGGTTGTTGCAGAATGTTGCAGGTTGTTGCAGGATGTTGCAGGATGTTGCAGGTTGATGCAGGTTGTTGCAGAATGTTGCAGGTTGTTGCAGGATGTTGCAGGATGTTGGAGGATGTTGCAGGTTGATGCAGGTTGTTGCAGAATGTTGCAGGTTGTTGCAGGATGTTGCAGGTTGTTGCAGGTTTCTGCAGGATGTTGCAGGTTGTTGCAGGATGTTGCAGGTTGTTGCAGGTTGTTGCAGGATGTTGCAGGATGTTGCAGGTTGTTGCAGGTTGTTGCAGGATGTTGCAGGATGTTGCAGGTTGATGCAGGTTGTTGCAGAATGTTGCAGGTTGTTGCAGGATGTTGCAGGATGTTGGAGGATGTTGCAGGTTGATGCAGGTTGTTGCAGAATGTTGCAGGTTGTTGCAGGATGTTGCAGGGTGTTGCAGGATGTTGCAGGTTGATGCAGGTTGTTGCAGAATGTTGCAGGTTGTTGCAGGATGTTGCAGGATGTTGCAGGTTGTTGCAGGATGTTGCAGGTTGTTGCAGGATGTTGCAGGATGTTGCAGGTTGATGCAGGTTGTTGCAGAATGTTGCAGGTTGTTGCAGAATGTTGCAGGTTGTTGCAGGATGTTGCAGGTTTCTGCAGGATGTTGCAGGTTTCTGCAGGATGTTGCAGGTTGTTGCAGGATGTTGCAGGTTGTTGCAGGATGTTGCAGGATGTTGCAGGTTGATGCAGGTTGTTGCAGGATGTTGCAGGATGTTGCAGGTTGTTGCAGAATGTTGCAGGTTGTTGCAGGATGTTGTGGGTTGTTGCAGGTTTCTGCAGGATGTTGCAGGTTGTTGCAGGATGTTGCAGGTTGTTGCAGGATGTTGCAGGTTGTTGCAGGATGTTGCAGGTTGTTGCAGGTTGTTGCAGGATGTTGCAGGATGTTGCAGGATGTTGCAGGTTGTTGCAGGATTCTGCAGGATGTTGCAGGTTTCTGCAGGATGTTGCAGGTTGTTGCAGGATGTTGCAGGATGTTGCAGGATGTTGCAGGTTGTTGCAGGATTCTGCAGGTTGTTGCAGGATGTTGCAGGATGTTGCAGGTTGTTGCAGGATGTTGCAGGATGTTGCAGGTTGTTGCAGGTTGTTGCAGGATGTTGCAGGTTGTTGCAGGATGTTGCAGGATGTTGCAGGTTGATGCAGGTTGTTGCAGGATGTTGCAGGATGTTGCAGGATGTTGCAGGTTGTTGCAGGTTGTTGCAGGATGTTGCAGGTTGTTGCAGGTTGTTGCAGGTTTCTGCAGGATGTTGCAGGTTGTTGCAGGTTTCTGCAGGTTGTTGCAGGATGTTGCAGGTTGTTGCAGGATGTTGCAGGATGTTGCAGGTTGATGCAGGTTGTTGCAGGATGTTGCAGGATGTTGCAGGATGTTGCAGGTTGTTGCAGGTTGTTGCAGGATGTTGCAGGATGTTGCAGGTTGTTGCAGGTTTCTGCAGGATGTTGCAGGTTGTTGCAGGTTTCTGCAGGTTGTTGCAGGATGTTGCAGGATGTTGCAGGTTGATGCAGGTTGTTGCAGGATGTTGCAGGATGTTGCAGGATGTTGCAGGTTGTTGCAGGTTGTTGCAGGATGTTGCAGGTTGTTGCAGGTTGTTGCAGGTTTCTGCAGGATGTTGCAGGTTGTTGCAGGTTTCTGCAGGTTGTTGCAGGATGTTGCAGGTTGTTGCAGGATGTTGCAGGATGTTGCAGGTTGATGCAGGTTGTTGCAGGATGTTGCAGGATGTTGCAGGTTGTTGCAGGATGTTGCAGGATGTTGCAGGTTGATGCAGGTTGTTGCAGGATGTTGCAGGATGTTGCAGGATGTTGCAGGTTGTTGCAGGTTGTTGCAGGATGTTGCAGGTTGTTGCAGGTTGTTGCAGGTTTCTGCAGGATGTTGCAGGTTGTTGCAGGATGTTGCAGGTTGTTGCAGGATGTTGCAGGTTTCTGCAGGATGTTGCAGGTTGTTGCAGGATGTTGCAGGTTGTTGCAGGATGTTGCAGGTTGTTGCAGGATGTTGCAGGTTGTTGCAGGATGTTGCAGGATGTTGCAGGTTGATGCAGGTTGTTGCAGAATGTTGCAGGTTGTTGCAGGATGTTGCAGGATGTTGGAGGATGTTGCAGGTTGATGCAGGTTGTTGCAGGATGTTGCAGGTTGTTGCAGGATGTTGCAGGTTGTTGCAGGTTGTTGCAGGATGTTGCAGGTTGTTGCAGGATGTTGCAGGTTGTTGCAGGTTGTTGCAGGATGTTGCAGGTTGTTGCAGGATGTTGCAGGTTGTTGCAGGTTGTTGCAGGATGTTGCAGGTTGTTGCAGGATGTTGTGGGTTGTTGCAGGTTTCTGCAGGATGTTGCAGGTTGTTGCAGGATGTTGCAGGTTGTTGCAGGATGTTGCAGGTTGTTGCAGGATGTTGCAGGTTGTTGCAGGTTGTTGCAGGATGTTGCAGGATGTTGCAGGATGTTGCAGGTTGTTGCAGGATTCTGCAGGATGTTGCAGGTTTCTGCAGGATGTTGCAGGTTGTTGCAGGTTGTTGCAGGATGTTGCAGGATGTTGCAGGTTGTTGCAGGATTCTGCAGGTTGTTGCAGGATGTTGCAGGATGTTGCAGGTTGTTGCAGGATGTTGCAGGATGTTGCAGGTTGTTGCAGGTTGTTGCAGGATGTTGCAGGTTGTTGCAGGATGTTGCAGGATGTTGCAGGTTGATGCAGGTTGTTGCAGGATGTTGCAGGATGTTGCAGGATGTTGCAGGTTGTTGCAGGTTGTTGCAGGATGTTGCAGGTTGTTGCAGGTTGTTGCAGGTTTCTGCAGGATGTTGCAGGTTGTTGCAGGTTTCTGCAGGTTGTTGCAGGATGTTGCAGGTTGTTGCAGGATGTTGCAGGATGTTGCAGGTTGATGCAGGTTGTTGCAGGATGTTGCAGGATGTTGCAGGATGTTGCAGGTTGTTGCAGGTTGTTGCAGGATGTTGCAGGATGTTGCAGGTTGTTGCAGGTTTCTGCAGGATGTTGCAGGTTGTTGCAGGTTTCTGCAGGTTGTTGCAGGATGTTGCAGGTTGTTGCAGGTTGTTGCAGGATGTTGCAGGATGTTGCAGGATGTTGCAGGTTGTTGCAG